GGAGGAGGATGCTTCTGATGGAGATGAAGTATCAAAATTATTAGTCCTAACACGTGGTTCCAAGGTTGAATTGTGGTCGGTTGCAACAATAGCATCAAATTTTAGATCAGTAGAGGTATATAAACATATATTCCATAATTTTTATTACATATGAAACATATGTGATAAATAATTCTCAATTTCTTTTCTAAATAAGGCAACAGATCCAGGTATTAAAGAAAGTGGTGGCATGATGGAAATTAATCAGCACTCAGGAAGTATTGTTGAAGTCGCCCTTAGTCCAGATGGCACTGCATTGGCAACGGCTAGTACAGATGGCGAAGTAAAATTCTTTCAAGTCTTCCTTCATAGTAATTCTCACAATGGCAACCCGCAGCCACGTTGTTTACATCAATGGAGGCCTCACGGAGGACGGCCCATTTCCTGCCTGTTTTTCCTTGATGATCATAAAAATTATCAACCTGAGTGAGTATTTTGAAAATACTAATTCAATGTATGTATATTTTTATTTGATAAATTGAATATAATTGAAGGAAATATTTATTTTTCAGTGTTCAATTTTGGAGATTTGCTGTGACGGGGTGTGACAATAATTCAGAACTAAAAGTATGGTCGTGCGAAATGTGGACTTGTTTACAAACAATCAAATTTGCTCCAAATCCTTCCACGGGCAAAATACTGGTACTAAAAGCAGGCTTAGATCTTGGTGCTGGATATCTGTTTCTATCAGACATATATAATAAAATTTTATATATATTAAGTCTTATGAAAGATAAAAATGAAGCGTTAGCTTGCATAAGCACGGTATCAGAGTTTCTCCTGCCATATCCAATTCTAAGTTTCGGAATTGTCGATGCTGATCAACGTAAAATACGGTCGACTGGTGAATCATTAGAAGATCTATGTGAAGAGATTGAAGAGAACGAGGAACAACTTGTTATTTACATGTATCTAGTCCAACCAAAGTCATTACAAGAATGTCACATTGCTTTTAAACCTGCCTCACAAGCAAGTAGCAATTATCTTATAGATACACTTGCTCATGATACGCTGGAATATTCTGAAGATATGCCAGATATGGGAACCGTTACTCACAACGGTATGTCCGAAGAAAATTGTGAGGGAGAACGATCTTTATCTTCAGCAATTGAAACAACAATTAATCATAATACTGGTGGCTTAAACTTGATGACGCCTGATGCATTCAGTTCACCTGCAAAAAAAGATAACAACGAATTGGAGTCTAATCCAGGAAGTCCAGATTTGAGGAAAGTTCTATCAAGTAGTCCTCTTGCACAAGCGGTGCAAGCTTTGAATGCATCTGACCCACCACTCGTAAAAAATGATATAGAAGAGCAAGCTCCTGCAAGCTGTGGAAGCAGTCCATCTAGAGAAGTAAGAGAAATCTTATCTCTTACTAAACCAGATGAAGAAACTGACATCGACGGCAAACCGGAAATAAAAACGAATGCCGATGAAGATTGGTCTAATATTCCGATGGTCTTGCTTAAAGATGTTAGTGTGCATGCGATGCAAGAGTCTGAAGAATTTCCCGAAGATGATGATAATAATATGCAAAGGCAAAAGATAAAAGTTGAACCAAAGACGTCCCTTCCTACCGATGATCCTGGATTATCATGGCGAACAAACAACGATATTGAACTAAACAATAAGTTGAAATCTATTTTAGATATAATTCAGGATCAGTGTCAAGAACTAAAAGAGTTACGTACAGAGGTTACTAGATTACGGCAAGAATCACCAGTATCCACGCGAATAGAATCGGCATTGGCGAGAATGTCTCAGCAGCAAAATGCGAACTTGGAACAAACTCTATATGATCAAATGACTCGTCAACATGAATTTCTAAATACATTTGAAACAACGATCAAAGATAAGATTGAAAGTACCTTACCATGTATAGTTGAAGAAACAATAAAGCCTTTGAAGCATCAAATGAGACTAGACGCAAATCAAATGGACGAACTCTTCCAGAAGAATATAAGTGAATTGATAAATAGTTCACATGTAAAAGATACTTTATCTTTGACAGCTGCAAATGCAGCAAAACCAGCTTTGGATGTTGCTTTTAAAGAAGCATTTACAACTGTCCTCTTACCTAATATGGAAAAGGTTTGCCAAATTATGTTTAAGCAAATCCAAGATGTCTTCATTAAAGGTACTCGCGAATGTAAGTAACTTATTCCGTTAATATGAGGACAATTTAATATTTCTTCAAATGTACTATGTAACATTTTTTTTTATAGATTTACAACATATCGATACGGTTATCGATAAACAGAATCAACGTCATAATGAGCAGTTAAGCGAAATGTTATCAACATTGGTACGCGAAGAGGTACAAACTGAATTGAATAGAGTTTTAACAACGATGCAGGATAGTACTATACGAGCAGTTCGTGATTCTATACGAGAAAATCTAAATCAGCAACTTACAGAAATTTCTTCTGCGCGGTAAGGATAAATCTGAAATTTAACATTGTTAAAAGTACTATCATGAAGATATTATTAAAACACTTTATTCTTGAAACCTAGATCAAGAGCTACAACCCCTGCTATACCTGTAACCACTGTAGCTGATGCTCAATCACGTGTTATGTCTCTTCTTCAAAGAGGTCAACTAAACGCCGCTTTTCAACAGGCTTTGAGTGCAAGTGATTTGGGATTGGTAGTACTAGTGTGTGAAAAAACAGAACCTTCAAGAGTATTTTCGTGTACAGCACAAGGTTCACGATGCATTTTGCAGCAACCCGTGATTCTTTCTCTCGTACAACAATTATCTGCTGATTTAGGACATCGTACAGAATTGAAACACAGGTATTTATTATTTTATAATTTATTATTTTATAATTTATATATAAATCATAAAAAAAAGATATTGTACCACACATTTGTAGATATTATAAAATATTTTAAATATATATATTTTAAATAAAAATACTTTTTTTTTAGGTGGCTGGAAGAAGCAATATTGAATTTAGATCCAAGTGATCCCGTAACACGAGAACATATGGGCACGGTGCTAATGACTCTACAAAATCAATTAGCTACATTTGTAGCAAGTAATCCGAATCATCGATCGACGAGCCGCATGAAAATGCTCGCTATGGCTACACGTGCATTATTAAGTCAGCATCCTTGACCATCACGTTTGTGAGATTATTCAAGTATATGATATAAGATTTTTTATGTTCTGTTTAAAGACTACTTTTGTCTAAAAGCAATATTAACAAAAGTCATGTTTAAGACTGTGTGTGGTAGTAATTTTCATATAGAATATACAGATATAGATGTATGTGAAGCCATTACCATTCACACTACTTTAACAAACATTCAGATTCAGTTTAGTTCTATTTAACAGATACACACATGTATTTAATTCGTCGTAAATCTTCATTAATTTTTTATGGGCTTAAATGCTTTAATAAAATTTTTTAAATAGTTTTTACGTAAGTTATATTTAAAAAATAAAATAAAAAATAAATTAAAATTTAAAAAACCACAAGTTGAGCACAATGTTAACGATAGATTAGTATTAGAAAATGGTCAGTGCTAAGTCTAAAAGAAAATAATTTTTTAATTTCATACTGTTAAGTTCTGCATGAACAATGTTACATTCTACATGTGTGATGACTAAAAATAAATTTTCACTTATAAGTTAATAGTAAAAATTACAAATATTTCTTCAAATTTTATAATCTTAACATAGACAGTGCATGCATTTCATAACATATACTTAATCATACTTGTATGAAAAAATGCGTCTGTAAAAATTTTTATTAAAACATCTAACTTTGAAAGATTTTGTCTTAATAATTGTTTAGAAATATAATTTTTTGACCGGAAAAGATTCTATTTTTATGACTAGCAATTTGTGAACTAGAAAGGTCTATATTGGAATAAAAAAAAATAAGTGTCATGATAATATTGTAATGTTCAACTGAATAAGATAAATGTGGAATTATTTTACTTATGTATGATTTATATGATTGAGTTCAAATATTTGTATCTGATAGAAAGAGATTATGTTATTTAACTACATAGTGGTAGATCAATTTGTAAGCTGCTTATAAGAAGCGTAAAACTATGAGGTCTTGATATGCCAAAGAACCATCATACATATCAAGATCGCATTTTAAAAGCTTCAACTTTTTTAATTTAAATTTTTTTATATTAAATTTCTCGTTTTTTCATTGTAGTAAAGAATTAGTTTTTTTTTATCATTCACATTTAATTTTATAAAAATGCACACATGTGTATATAACATATATATATAAAAGATATATCTAATTATATGTTACATATATATTATGTGTTTTATATGTTATATTATATGTTATATTATACATATAATATTTTATATATGTATAAATTTTTTTTAAAGAAACAAATATTAACCTGAGAATATAGATCTACCACTATTCAACTCTGATGATTTAATAAATGTATACTATGATAATATAGTATTAAATATTGTCTGAAAGTTCTTAAACAAGGATTGTAAATAATATTGTATCACCTACATCGAAAAGATTATTTTCCAACATTTTTATACTTTCTATATATATATATATACATATATATGGAAGTTCCTAATTCCAGATTCATGTGTTCAACTGTATGTTAAGATCTAGGACAATGACATTATACAACGTTATTTAATAATAGCGTATTAAAGGATTAATATACATTTTTTTCTGAAACTTTTTGTTATTTCTTTTTCTTAGTATTTTCATGATATCAAATGTAATAAAAAATAGCGCGCGTCACTATTTTTTCGTTGACGAAATCAAACACTAAATTATTAAATAATAATCATTTTGGTTATTTATAACAAATTTTATTAATACAAGGTTGAAGAATTATGACTGAATTTTCTATGAAAACTAAACATTTCAGATTTAAAATGATCATAAAAACCATCACACATAAGGAAATTTTAATCGTAATCTTAAGTCACAATCAAAATTATGGTCTTAGAATACACAGCTGTGAGAATGTTTGTATTAGTCGATATGTTTATGGTCTTATAGTTATAACTAAAATTTATTTATGTGTGGTGACCTTAAGAAATATGATATCTATTTAAATCTTATCATAAAAGTATATACTGGGTGTTTCTTTCTGAAGACCGTCCACGAATCATATAGTGCTATTCCTGATCAAAAACTGAGTTGATAAGTCCTCTACAATTTTCGCAATGTTAACGAAATATTAATTTCTAAAGATTGCCAAATAACCGCATATCCGACCAATCATTAATTATTACAAAAGTTGTAAAATAGTAGAGGACTTTTCTGATAAAAAATTCAGTTTTCATATCATGGGTGGTATCATATGATGAGCGGACTTTAAGAAACACCCTGTGTGTATATATATACATGTGCGTGCATGCTTAGTAACGTTTTTAACTATATAATTATTTTTTCAAGTCAATAAGATATTGAATGAAAAAAAGCATTTTGTTTTCCCAGTTTTTAATTTTTTAACGATTTTACTTTTTATATGTTGTATTCACAGAATACATGATCAAAATTTGCACGACACGCGTATAATTTTATGTACTTTTATTCTTCAATTCTGCTAGTAGAGCCTCTTTAATGTGTGGCGCTATTTTAATTTTTCTTCTTCTGACCTTGCCAGACTTTGTACCATTTTTCTTCAATATTGTTTCAGGTTTTTTCTTTTTTTTCAAACAACTAAGCGGATTTGGTCCTCCCTTTTTCCTTTTCTTCTTCAATTTAGTTTCTTTCTCTTCTAGCCCTGCTTGCTTTCGCAATACTTTTGCATTTTCTTTTTCCCATGTAGACATACCTAAACCTTTCTGTACAGCTTCAGCATGTTTACGGCTCGCCTCTGAAGGAGAGTCTAGTGTGGGTACTTTTCCATGTAAATAAATTAATGGAACTCCCGGAATTATCCTCAATTTATCTTGAAGTTCACGATCTTGCGTTGCAACAATGTATCTATAAAAAGTATAGTTTTATTTTAAAAACATTTTCTAATACACACACATGATCTTGATATGTTAAATGATTTATTTATTAGTATTATATATTTGAGGAGGTACATATACTCAAAGTGACGAAAATATTATGAAATAATCTTTTATATATGTTAGCATATATAAAATAAAATAATCTTGAAAAATGTGACAAAAATTCATCAAAATAAAAAATATTTCACTCTTATTCCAAAATAATCAGTTTAGCCTACAACTATGATTCCCACTTTTCTGGATTTTGGCCAGAGTTTCTGGCTAACTGGTTAAAATTTTTTAGTCACTTTTTAAGTACATGTCTCGATTTTCCTCCGGTTTTTTAAAAGATATTTTCTGCAAGAGGGTATGATCTGATTTTGTTTTTAGAGAACATTCTACAAAACAATTTCAATTTTGCCAATTTCAGAATTAGTTATCAATCTCTGGAAATTCTTACTGGAACACTAGTTGAAAAGTAGCAACCGTATTTACAATATATTTAGCATACATTGCAGGCAACTTTCTTATTTTCTCATTATTACATTTTGAATACATGCCAAATGTTCTAAAGTCAGTTTCTTAAACCTTCTAATTGTTTCAGCAAAGACTATAGAACATAACTAAATTTATTGTCTCTATATTGATTGTAATAAACAGATATATCTACTTAATAAACATATGTATGCTTAGCTTACAAAAATCATTAATTTTTTTAATTTAAATAAATTTAAACTTGTAATTTTTAGAGAAATATCAAAGACTTAAAAAAATATAAAAATTTAAGTTACTTTTTAAATTATTATATTTCTTAAATCTGATATTTCAATATTTTTTTTAAATTTTAAGTTCAAATTTATTGAAAGTAAAAAAAATATAATACAAGAGGTTTAATCCAACTAAAATCAACACTAGGTGACTATGTGTAAAAATTCTTTTATATTAATAATTCTGAATAAACGTTTTGACCCTTGCTTTGAGTATCCTCTTCAATAAATTTATGTCAATTTACAAAATAATGATCTTGCAATACAGAAAGTCAATAAAATGTTACGCTTATACAAAAATGTCCATATCAGTGAAGAAATAGTCAAAGATAGTAAACAAGAAAAAATCCATGAGTAAAATATATAATAAAGATATAATAAAGCAAAAACTCTTAGGCCCAGTTTCACAACTGGTTAACTCTTAACCGAGGTTCAACTTATTCATTATCTCTTTTCAATTCTAGAATTGGAAAAAGATGAGAAATAAGTTGAACCTCTGTTAAGAGTTAACTGTGAGTTGTGAAACTGGGCCTTAGTGTATATGTTTAACCTTCTAATATATTCATATGTACATACCTTGTACTATTATCTTTTCCTATCATAGATAAAAAACATTTTGAGCCATTTATTGGTTTCTTTTCGTGTCCACATCTGTGTATAACGTACTGTTTCACGATTTGTGTAGCACCGTTAACTGCTGGAGAGAATATACCAAGTTTTTCAGTTTCCGAGATGATACATGCTGTTGTTAGCAACTTTGTTTCAGATTGGAAGTACTTTGCAAGTTGCTCTTGTATGTTAAATTTGTTCTAAAAAATAATAAGGTACATATATATGATAGATGAAATAAATTAAACATTTAAAAACATTGTGATATCTAAATAATGAAACAGAAAATAACGCGTGTACAGCTAACCTGTAATGCTGCAAATGCAAATGTACCATCAATAAGGACTTGAAAAGGTTGATGAAATTTATAATTATTCACATAAAATCCAAGAGTCTTCCGGGCTTTTTTGGCTCGCGAGGTCTTCATTTTAAAAAGATAACTTTAATTAAACTTTGAGGCTAACCTAATAATTTTTTCGTGTTGTTTATTCGCTCTATTGGACTAGAATTCACTAGAATCCAGTACCGCCAACATAGCAGACCTTTTTTTTTTCTCTTTGTCCCCATATACATGTATTAATAAAAACATAACATCTTTATTATTTATTAATTTTTTTATTTCAAAATACAATTTTTATTGTAATATCTTATTTAAAAAATTTTCACTTTCTCCCATGTTTATGTAAATTCTGTATTCTGTATCTATATTTTCCTGCATTATATTTTCAGTTTTCTTTGGAAATATATTTTTTTATTTTCTTATTTATTTTATATTACTGTCATCAGTTACAAGATGGTGCATACTGGATTTCAAACCCTACAAATACATATTTTTGAATTTATGTATAATTTAAAAATAACTGTATGTAGTGTACATTTTATACTTACACTTTCCCAAGCAAAAAAGTGCATGGATGTAAGTTTCTCTAATGGATCAATCATGTGAACATTTAAACATTGCGATTGATCAATAAAAGGTCCACGAGAAGCTGCCATTTCAAAAATTGTTTTTTGTGGCATTTCCCAAACCGTTTTATAAAGCAGTTTTAAATCTTTGGGTATCTCCTCAATATTCTGCAAATGAGAGAGAGAGAGAGAGAGAGAGAGAGAGAGAGAGAGAGTTTATTAATGTTCAATATCTATTTTTAAAAAATATATATGATAAAAATATATATTATATATAAAATATTTAATATGAAATCTATTTATAATACAGTTAAATTAAACAATATTTACTTGTATGGATCCGCCATTAAAAATAATTTTATTACACATGTTTTCATCCCAAAGACCTTTCTCGATTAGATCTCGTAGCAAACGTGGTTTAATAATTGAGTATTGTTTTGATAATGCATGTATTGTATAAATGTTACTCATATATGGCTCAACTGACATATTATTTTCCAACATTTGTGCCATAAATGCATCTGACATTTGAGCTATTAACAAAGAATTGCGCAATCCATGTGTAGCAATTTTTGCCTTTAAAATATCCCAATCCCATAAATTTGTCGGTTTCACATGCCACATGTCGAATTGGAGGATCTAGAAAAGAATTTACATTTTCAGATGTAAATAATTTTCACAACAAATCAATAGTAGATAACAGATAATGTTTTTCTTGATTATACTTACACCTTCACTGATAGCACTACCCTTATATGACTCATAAGGACCTTTTTCAGTAGCTATTTCGCAACTGGCTTCTAGAGCACCATAATAGAGAGTCTCAAAAATTTGAACGTTGAGTTCATTAGCTTCTTTGCTTTCAAACGGATATCTCATTAAAATAAATGCATCTGCTAATCCTTGTACACCAATACCTGAAGTTTTAAAAATGAGTTTAAAAAAAGCAATGCATATAGTATGCAAATTGAACACAAATAGCTTACCAATAGATCTATGTTTATCACATGATAATTTTGCCTCTGGAAGAGGGTAAACATTAACGTCAATCATTTTATCCAAATTGTAGGTGACGGTTTTCGCTATTTCTTTAAGTTTATAAAAGTCGAAAACTTTCTTAGTAGAATTTATAAACATATTGACAGCAATTGAAGCTGTATTACACATAACAACTTCATCCGAACTTGAATACTGAACTACTTCGGTAGAGAAACTACTGCATTTAATTGTGCCTAAATGCTGATGATTTGATTTATAATTACAATGATCTTTAAAAACTATGTATGGCACTCCTGTTTCACATTGTATCTGAATAATGAGAAGCCATAACTCCCTTGCTTTGACTTGTCTTCGAAAACGTCCTTCCTGTTCATATCTAAACAGGAATATATATTCTTTGGAAATTATATAAATTCAATGTCATTTTTTAAATTATATTAGAAATGTATAATCAATTACTTGGTATACAATGTTTCAAATTCATCACCCCAAGCTTCAATTAATCCAGGACATTCATGTGGACACATTAGACTCCATACATCATCATCAAAAACACGTTTCATGAATAAATTTGGAGTCCATAATCCATAACACATGCCTTTTGCCCTCAATTGCTCCTCACCTATAATATAATTGTTTAAAAAGATATTCACATATCTTTATTTATCAAAACAAGTATGAAAAGAAAATATTATTATAAGATAATAACCAATATTCCTTTTAAGATCCAAAAACTCAAAAATATCGGAATGCCATGGTTCTAAATATACAGTAATCGGTCCCTCATTTTTGCCATTTTTTGAGACAGTTCCAATAGATGTATCATATGTTTTTAACATAGGCACTAATCCGTTTGACACGCCTCCTGTACCCCTAATAGGTGTATTCTTTGCTCGAATGCAGTGTACATTGAATCCTATTTCACCATTATAATCACAAAGAACAGTAAATCTTTCCAACGTATCCAATATTCCATCTATGCTATCGCCAGACATTGTCAATAAAAAAGTGCTGTAAAAATATCGTTTACTTAATAATATATTACAACACCTAATAAATTTAGTTACTGTTTAATGAAGATAATCACCTAGCCATTTGTTGTGTAATGGTACATGCGGTATCTATCGTCTGTGCAGGATATATGAAATATTGTTTCGACATAAAATTGTATGTTTCGACAACCTTATCAATGTCTTCACCGTGAATAGCTACAGCAATTCGCATTAACATGTGCTGTGGTCTTTCGACAACTTTTCCATTCAATTTCAACAAGTGATCACTCTCAAGCATTTTAAATGTAGCATAACTATAATTAAAATCTCTATCATATAGTATTGCAGAATTCAATTTGTCTGCGTTATTTTGGATAATTTGATAATATTTCTTGCTGATTATAGGCAAGTGTTCATTTGTGATCGAGCTTTTTGCATGATACAAATTAGCTATCACCTCTGAGAGATACAAGGTATTAATAATAAATCTTCAAATATTGATAAACAATGTAATATCAACGATTAATAATATCTCACCACTAAAAACTTTCTTTGTCTCCTTGTGTAGATTGGATATAGCAATTCTAGCTGCTAAGGTTGCATAATCTGGATGTTGATTAATCATAGTCGCTGCAGTTTCAGCTGCCAGATTATCCAATTCAGTTGTTGTCACTCCAGAACATAAATTAGTTATAACCCTAAGTGCAATCGCAGACTGTAAGAGAAAAGTACAAATAAAAAATACAGTAACGCATTTCTCTTAATCTAACGATTTTATAAGTCATAATAAACTTGACTTTAAGGAAAACATTCATCGATATATAAATTAATGAAAAATTAATATGGAACAAGATTCCCCTTTTTTTCACCAATTACAAAGGTACATGTGCAAATGCTTACTGGATCCACATAATTCATATCCAGACCGTAACATAGTGCCTCAATTCTTCCAGTTATCTTGTCGAAATGCACAGACTCTTTACGTCCATCTGACAACAAATAAAAGAGTTATTGAAAGAGGAAAGATCAACGAAACAAAAATAATTTCGCGCGAGGATATGTCAAATAACGATGTCAAGTGAGTGTATTTGTTCAGTTTGATGTAAATTACCGCGCTTGAGAACATGCATGTTGTCTCTTCGAACGCTTTGGAAGCGTCGCAGTTACAGCAACGTATTTTTTCTCCAATTTCACTTGATTTCACTTGACGTTACAACAAGTAACCAGCACGATTAAAAACGTTACCTGAGTAATTTACCCGCGAAACGGAAGTGACGAAGAGGTTATCACGTGTACCACGACCAATCGCAGCTTCGTTTCACGCAAACGTCATTTCCGCAGACTTCGCGAAGAACCTTTTACGCGCCATTTCAAAAAATTCAGATCTCTCTCACGTTTTAATTACATATGTAAATAATGATTTTCACATAGTTGAATTCGAACGCGATTTAGGCGTATGAAAAAGATATGTACAAAAATCGAGACAAGTATAGTACTTTTGAGCAATAATGTGCTTTTGATATGTAAAACTTACCCAAGCGTACAAAATTATGCAAGTAGAAAAATCTATTGATATAAATGTTACATAAATAATCATTGTCATTCGTATTTTGCAAGAGAAAATGAATAAATATTATTATTAATGTAATTAATAAAGATTATCGAAATATATAAAAAAAAACGATATAATACATAATGTAAATACCCCCTGATTCTGTTAAAAGGTCGGAAATTCAGGGATCTGGAAGAAAAAGAAGAACCTGATTCTGTTATTGACTACATTTACATGCTCTTAATCGGATTTAATAACATTCGTAGTTATGAAACTGGCCAATCACAGTCGTTCCATTCTTCCGAGGAATAACTATTGGAATATACTGATTGGCCAATTTCATAACTACGGATGTTATTAAATCCGATTAAACGTGTCGTGTAACAGAGGTCAATATCGAAAATAGCCGGTTGCTGTATTGAAAATTGCAAAAATCGCAGCGAAAGAGGCTAAAGTTTTGAATAATCGCACGTCATGGAGCCAAAATGGTGGCAATTCGTGGTACTTTGTTAATCTAGTAACTTTATGCTGGATTCACAATGCAGCCGATGTGAGTCGTACGACGCTCTGCAACTAATCAGAAAACAGGATTCCGATGGATTTTGCTTCGTATC